TCGTCCGAGAGCTGACTCTCTGTAGCAGTAGCTGTCTTCCTGCCCTTCCCTTCAACGACTTCAGCACACCAAAGGCCAGAAGCTCTTAGCTGGGTTTCATTATACACTTAATTAACCAGCTTCTCTGCAGGGCAGAACTGCACTTACGGTTTTAGTCTTTTACGGCTCAGGGGCAGAGGCTGCGTAAGAGAAAGCTGCTGTCCAGTCGTTAAAAGATGCGAAAGTTGTTGCAACGGAGTGAGCCAATTACGTATCCCGGGAGTCGAATGGTTTCGTCGCGCACGTATCCTCCGGTGCCATCTGATGATCCTGACAGCGGCCAGCATCTGTCTGGGGCTTGCCGTCGTGCCTGTCCGGGAGTAGATCACCGAGGTGATCCTACGTGCGTGACCGTGTCCTTGCACTCCTAGGGAGCAGCTCCGCGAGCAGAGCTGCTCATTGCTGTTTGGTACATGATGATCCTGAGCGTGAAGATTCGATGGACGTTTGCCCGATGTCCCCGCACAGGACTGGGGTCACATCCTTCTCTCGGGTTTCCTGTTCACCGTGGTCTCAGCCACTGTCAGGACGCTCAGGACGCTGGGACTCGTTGGGAAACAGAACCCCCTGTGATTCATTCCCGTATCGATACAGACGTCGCATCTACCCCCTGCCACATAGGCTAGTTGCTGAGCCTTTGGGTCTGTGTACGCCTCTTCCGTTACGTTACGTGCAGGACAAAACACTCACGGAGCTAGCAATGTGGACGGGATTACCTCACATGATAGAAACTGTATTTTTTTTTTTTTAATGAATAGCATAAAAGAACACTTTCAGCAAAACTTTCTTTTCCCTTGTGTTTTAGAGAGAGCCAAGGGTTCATGCTTTGTTTTTGTGGGTTTTTGTTTTGTTTTGTTGTTTTTTTTAATCTTGGTTTGTTCTCCTGTAATCTAGTAACTTAAAAGTCTTGTTTTAAATTCATATCATTTTGGGGGCCCCTGGGTGGCTCAGTGGTTTAAGCCTCTGCCTTCAGCTCAGGTCGTGATCTCAGGGTCCTGGGATCGAGCCCCGCATCGGGTTCTCTGCTCGGTGGGGAGCCTGCTTCCCCCTGTCTCTCTGCCTACCTCTCTGCCTACTTGTGATCTCTGTCTGTCGAATAAATAAACACAATCTTTAAAAAAAATCTTAAAAATAAATAATCTTTAAAAAAAAAAAAAAAGCGAAGCCGTCCCCCTCACTGTCCGTCATGGAAAGAATGGTCCGTTGCAGCCTGAACCGAAGAATCCTCCACAAGAAGCAGTCACCAGGGACCGGTCCCAACAGGGGAAGATGTCCTCTGCACCTTCCTAGAAACCTGCCTCCCCTGGGACCCAGCCAATGAGGAGCCATCATCATACCGGACTCCAGACTCTCTCCAGCACGCTTGCGTTCGGAACAACCCCTCCAACTTCCTCCTCCTCCTCTGTGAAATAATGTCCTTCTCGTCTCTGTGTTGGGCCTGCCCGCCGCGTTGCGATAAGCCGCTTGTCCTGACTTGTGCTTCTCTGTGCGTCCCGAACCCGCGCATTTTTGTTGCGTGAGTACCTGGCAGTTTTATTTTTAAGGTTAATAGTCCTCACCTGGAATGCCTGTATCCAGACAAAGTTTTGTCGTTGGCTGTTTTTCTGTTGGAGGCGTTCTTTCCCGCCACCCACCAGGGAAGTAAAGGTTTTTAACGGAATTGTAGCTCATAGATGGAATCCGTGATGCTCATCAGTGGTCGATGCAAACGAATGAAGTGTTTTGGCCTCCTTTCCGTTGTGCATTCCAAGGACATGGAAACTGGTTGAATTATGCAGAAGACTAGCACTGGCTGGAAGTGTTCTTAAGTGTGAGGGTGTTCGTGCGAGATGCACCGCTCTGTGATTTTTCTCCTCTGGCTTCTGTTCAGCTCTGGTAGCAGAGAAACACTGGTATCCAGAGTGAGTTAGAACACCTTCACTCCTGTTTTCCGGAAAGCTTGCTCACAATGGGTGTTGTTTCTTTCTCAAATGGTAGTTCTCAGTTCACCAATGAGGCCATCTGATCCTGGATAGGAGAAAGGTTTCTTAACTACAAATTCTCTAGGAGGTGTAGGGCTGTTCAATTATTACCATCTTTTTGAGTGAGCTTTGTATCTTTCAAAGAGTCTGTCCGTTTTATCTAAGCTGTTAAAGGTATTGGCATGCATTTGCTCATGATCACATTTTTTTTTAATTTAATTTTATTTTTCTCAGGGTTGCAAGATTCACTGTGTATGCACCCCACCCAGTGCTCCATGCGATCCGTGCCCTCCTTAATACCCACCACCAGGCTCACCCATCCCCTACCTCCTCCTCTCCAAAACCCTCAGTTTGCTTCTCAGACTCCACAGTCTCTCATGGTTCATTCCATACTTTTTAATCCTTTTGATGGATTTAAGAATCTGTGGTAATGTCTTCTGTTTGATTACGAGCACTGTTAAATTTGGATCTTCCTTCTTTTTTCTTTTCCTTTTTTTTTAATCTTTAAAAAATATTATTTACTTTTTTATTTATTTGACAGAGAGAGATCACAGCAGGCAGAGAGGCAGGCAGAGAGATAGGGGGAAGCAGTCTCCCCGCTGAGCAGAGAGCCCGATGCGGGGCTTGATCCCAGGACCCTGAGATCCTGACCTGAGCCAAAGGCAGAGGCTTTAACCCACTGAGCCACCCAGGCGCCCCTCTTCTAGTTTTTTTAATGGGACAACTTAGATTGCTGGTTTTAGACCATCATCTTCTTCGGTAGTATAAGCCTTTAGTGCCATCGGTTTTCCGCTAAACAATGGTTTATCCACTTCCCACAAAATTTGATATGTTCGCTTTTTGTTCTCTACCACAGATCCTCTAATTTCCCTTTGTCACTCCATCGACTCATGTCTTACATCGAAATGTGTTGCTTACTGTCCAAATACGTCTTCCCACCTACCTTTCAGTTATTGATAACTATTTTAATTCTTTCATGGTCAGGGCGCATATTTTGAACGATTTCAATTATTGTAAAACGTTGTAGAATTTTTCATAGCTTATGGACTCACACTCTATGTTGTTGAATGTTCTAGGTGCACTCGAAAATCATTTCTATTCCGCTGTTTTGGGTGAAGTGGTACATAAACGTCAATTCAGTTACGTGGCCCGGTAGTGTTTTGAAGAGTCTGCTGTACCCTCCTTTCTGTCTGCTTGTTTTGTCCATTAGTGACAGGAGTTTGAAACCTGGGTCTGTTTCTCCGCTCAGTGTATTAGTTTTTGCTTTACGTGTTTTGCAGCTGTGTTACCAGATGCATACACATTTAGAATGACGTCTTGTTGATCCGCTAACCCACGTGTCATTATGAAGTGTACTTAGTTATCTCTGAGACTTGTCATGCCTTGTTCTTTTTTTAAAAATTTTATTTATTTTTATTTGGCAGAGAGACAGTGAGAGAGGGGACATAGGCAGGGGGGTGATGGGAGAGGGAGAAGCAGGCTTCCCGCTGAGCAGGGAGCCCACTGCGGGGCTCAGTCCCAGGACCCTCGGATCATGACCTGAGCTGAAGGCAGACCCTTAAGAGACGTAGCCACCCAAGCGCCCCATCATTCCTTGTTTTAAAGCATACTTTTTTGCTATTCGTATAGCTAATCCTGCTTTTGATAGTAGTTACAAAATATATGGGTTTTATTTATATACATAAACATCCATCAGTTTTTAACTTGCCCGAATATCATATTTCAGTTTTCTGTAGAGAGTATGTAATAGACTATCACTTTTTTTTTTTTTTCATTCTGATAGTCTCTAACGTAGCCGTATTAGTGATGTTTATAAAGCTTCCAGAAGGTCCAGATCTGCTAATTCCTTCGTCTCGTCCATGTCTGTGTTCATTAATGTTGATGGGTCTTTCCTCCTGGCCGTACGCTGTATTTGTCTGCCCTGCGGAGGTGTGGAGGAGACTTGATGTCAGAATGGCGAGTTTCACGTCCAGCACAGTGCTAGGTTTCACTTTCTTTTTAAAAAAGTTTTAATGTCGTCCTGGTGCCGAGTTAAGATCCACACCTTCCTTTGAAGAAGGAAGCATTTCTCTTAAAGGCACTCACAGTGTTTGCTTTAGGTGTGTGAACAAGAAATGGGTGTGCCCGTGTTTTCTGTAGCAATTAAGAAGTAGGGACATGGCCTTGTGCAGTTCCTCCAGCAGTAATCATTACACGACTGTTTAAGAGACTGTCTCAGGTCATTAGTGCTCTGTGTGGGTGTAGACGCTCCCGGCACACTCAGCAAAGGTTTCCAGGTGGCCAGTACTGCTGTGTCAGACACGTGTCTGATAACCAGCCCTCTCTCCGATGGGATTCAGCCCCACGTCCCCGCACGGGAGGCTCGCCGTTGCTGAGAGTGTGGCAAGTGTCCTACCCTGTTGTGCCCTCCTGCTGTGGCTCCGCGGTGTTTCCTCCTCTGTGGCCTTATGGGGTAGCCCTACAGCTTTTCTTCAGCTCCGGCCCTTGTGCTGGGCCTCCGGAAGGAGCCCTTTCGGGGTTCCCTCTCCCCAGCTGTATGACGGATGACTGAAATGCCTTCAGTAGCACACGGGTGTTCTCCAAAAATACCAGCAGCATAATCATTGCCAATTCATTGCTTTAGGAAACAAAACAAAACAAAACCTGGTTCACCAGGTGCAGAGGTGCCTCCCTGGGCTCACTGGGCCTGGTTTCCACCTTTCAACAAAACAGGACCGGCAGACAAGGCGGTGTTGCTTTCCAGTAAAATCGCCTTCGGTTACTTTGGGAGATGCTGTAGCGAAGCCCCGAATGGCTTTCCGAGGTTTGGTTTGAGTAGCTGTGTTGCAGCGCCCTGAACCCCATTCAGACAGTCCGTGTCCTATCAGATCGTCCCTCAGAACGGGCAGCAAAGAGTCAAGGTCCCAGAGCTGGCACCACGTCCCGGGGGGGGGTTGGAGGGGTATGGCCCTGCCCTCCTCCACCTCGCTGAGGCTGAAGGCTCTCCCTTCTCCTCCCCAGGTGTGGAGAAGCTGATCCACCACCTGAGAGAGCATGACGTGCCCATGGCCGTGGCCACCAGCTCCGGCTGCGCGTCCTTTGAGATGAAGACCAGCCGACACAGGGAGTTCTTCAGCCTGTTCGACCACATTGTTTTGGGCGATGACCCCGAAGTGAAGAATGGGAAACCGGACCCCGACATCTTCCTAGCCTGTGCGAAGAGATTTTCTCCTCCGCCTCCCATGGACAAGGTAAGGCCCCCAGCGAGGAGAAACGTGGCTCGGTGCAGCCCCTGAGCAGGGTCTGTCCACGACCGGAGCGCCTTGTATCCGCTGTGGGAGAGCCACCGTGAGAGTGGGGCCGGGGTGCGGCCCAGGGACGGGGACACGATCAGATCCCGTCAGCTTGGCGAGAGGGGTCAGCAGGCCAGTGATCCCGGATGCGCGGACGGGACGTTAGACAGCTTGTGTGGGACAGCCCGGTGGACGTGCTGCAGGGAAGGGGGCTCTGCGGATGGGGCAGGACTGCACCGGTACTGGCCAGGAGCAGCCTTCGAGGAGTGTGCTGGTTGCGACAGCGGTGGGACTCCAGTGCTCACAGCAACGCTCGCTCCGCCCCCACAGGTGCTTGTCCTGGCAGGTTTGTTCCTGCAGGGTGTCTGCTCACAGGGACCTTGAGTTTTGTGCTGACCTTTCCAGGCTTCTGTTTGTCTGCAGGCGGAAGGCACGGGTGGGGTTGGTGGTCCAGGGCCCTCTCCCCCGCCTGTGCACAGTACTTCATCATGCAGGGGGCACAGTGGAGATGGGGCAGGGGTGTCAGCCACCGGGAAGCACGTGTCCAGCTGGTGGACAGTGTGGGTGCAGCTCTGCCTCAGATTCTCCTCCCTGCACTGTTCTTGTTGGGACTGAGAGCTGAGCCTCCCTGTGCGCCCCTGTAGGTTCCAGAACACAGGAGACGGTGTGGAGAGGGTGCGGGCTGAGGTCTGACTGTGCGCCCCTGCAGATTCTAGAACACGGGAGACGGTGTGGGGAGGAGGCGGGCTGAGGTCTGACTGTGCGCCCCTGCAGATTCCAGAACACGGGAGACGGTGTGGAGGGGGAGGGGGCGGGCTGAGGTCTGACTGTGCGCCCCTGCAGATTCCAGAAGGACGTGGGGACTGATTGAGAGGCTGGTTTCTCTTGTTTGTGTGCTAGCGGCAGGGAGAACGCTGCTCAGGTGACAGTGTTTCTGTTGGTTCCTGGGTTGTAGGACGTTGGGTTGGAGTTGGCTCCTTACTTTGTCACTTCAGGGAAGAACACTTCATGATCGTTCTTTTCTCAGTCACCAGAGAGCCCGAGATGGAGGCAGGCCCTTTTCTGACACAAATCCCGGGTGCTATAATGACAAGAAGGACTCACAGCCTCCTTGCACTGAAGCTATGGGGCTGGGGCACGTTTCCTCGATCCGTTCCGTGTGTGTTGTGTTGTTTTATTTGGCTCCGGTTCCGCTTACTAGCTTGACCCGTGAAGACAGTAATTATGAGTGAGTCAGGGCTCACGTACCGTGGACCGGGCCACGGTGAGATACGTGCGCCTCTTACATGGATGCGGGTGGGTTCAGATGTCATCCATGAGTCCAGCTCGATGGTTCTGTGATGGGGCGAGCCCACAGTGGCCGGGTCCCGAAGCCATGGACAGAAAGAGGGGCCTCTTGCAGGGATGGCGGAACACACCCGGGCCATAGCCTGTGTCTCCTTCGTGTCTCAGGGCATCGAGACGCCTGCGTGCTTGGCATCCCACAGATTCCACGGCCGTGTCTTCTTTTCCCCAAGACCCTTGCTTTCTGGAGGGTGTGAACCTTCAGAAGACCACGTCGCCCCGCGAGAAGAGCCCCTTGCTTGGTCGGGCGTACGTGGCTGTTGATTCACAAGTGACGTGAAGCTCCACGGGTGCTGGACAGACGGGTTCGCAGAGCCGCTCAGAGTCTGCGGCCCCTTCTTTCAGTGGGGTCTGCAGAGCTGATGAGAGCTCCCTTGGATACTGGCCCTCCACGGAGCTGCTGGTGCGGCGGGGGCCGTGAGCGGGATAGAGGGGCTCCGTGTCTTCCCACGATCGCTGTCCCTCCTTCGCGAGGCAGGGTATCCGTGGAAACGTGGCATTTCCACGTTTGACCGTGGGTGGGGAAACGGTTTCTAGGGAAGGTGCACGCTTGCTATCCTGCTTGCTTTGCAGGAAAGCGTTCGCGGCGATACCGTGGAGAGCGAGGACGCCGCGGCCGTGTGAACTCAGGGCTCCATATGGTCGGCCTGTCCCCGTGTTCTTCTCCCGACAGTATTTGTTTCAGACTTGTCAGAGGAACATGAGCACTTGCATATCTTCACGGCAATTTAGCTCGTAAACTGTGCGGGGCATTACGCTTGTTGCTAATCCGCGTTTATTGACGCGTGTGTTTGTCTCGCAGAAACGCAACCTTTCTTGTTGTATTTCTTAGGCAAAGAGGGTCCAGGCTTTGGGGCTTTCTCGTCGGGTGACCTGCGCGTGCTAACACTGCAGGGAGATTGGGACAGGCCCCTTGTTGTGGGCACAGCCTTAACCTCGTACTCGGGCTCCTTCTCCTGCCTCGTACGCGAACCACTTGCAAAGAGGGTTGTTGGAATAGGAAAAGGTTCTTCGAACACGTCCGGCTGCTTTCTCTTCAAAGCAGCGCCTGCCCGTGGCAGCTGCGCGCCTGCCACGTTCCAGGGCATTTCCTGTGATTCCTAAGTCGCTGGAGAGACTCACCGTCGCCAGCGGGACTTTATTATGCTGTGGGTGTCATCCAGTTAGTGAGGTGCAGCGGTACTAGTAGGAAGGAGGGAGACAGAAGCGGTGTCAAAGGGAGAGATTACGCTAACATGTTCCTTACCATTTTCCCGGGAGAAAATGCCCACAGAGCTGGCATCAAACACGATCTCACGGAAATGATTATTTCTGAACTACGCGTGTGTCATTCTTCTGTGCTGAAGAGAAGCAAACATGTCCCATCTCAGAAAGTGCCCCCAACCCGTCTTCAGCACTACCGAGTCCTCACTGAGTGCCTGCCGTGTGCCAAGGAGGCGCGCAGCGGGTGGGAGCCGCCCCGACGGTCCCCCGTCGGGGCGTGGTCACCTGTGCTCTGGTTCCCGCAGCACACGCGCTCCTGCAGCCTTACAGACGGAGCGGCCGGCCCCACACTGCGAGGCGGGTCGAGGGAGACAAGCCGGGAGTCACCCCCGGGTCCTCGGGCGACGTGAGCTCCCCATTCAAGTTCCTCGCCCCCGGCTGTGCACGTGTCTGGCGCAAAATGGAAAGGATGATGGCGCCACAGACTCGGGATTGCTTGGGTTGACACTACGAGTAAATCCCCAAATCAGTTCCAAGAAGCGTAGTCGTAATTACTTTGCATATTTTAGTTTTCGTGCTAATGTTAAGAACTGAGTTCCAGGGTGGTTTTTGTTTTATTCCTCGTATACTTTGTTTTCAACAAAGTTCTGCACATAAAGCGTTTCTATACCTAAAGAGTAAAAAAAAAAAAAGGAATGATAAACACATTATGGTTGGTGAGTTCTTATTGCGTAACGTCCCCCTGGCTGAACTGAGACCGTCCTCTCGGTGACAAAAGGAATCACCCGAGCTCAGTTCCCAGTGTAGGAAAAGGGCAGCTAATGCATTGTTCCTGATCTCTTGACAAAGAAACGTGTGCCTTTAGGAACTCCTCTCATACACCGTCTCTGTCCCCAAGGTCTGCACACAGGCGTGGGCTGTCAGAGGGCTCCTGCCATCTTTGGCTCTCTGTGAAGAACGTCTTTACCTCCCAGAACGATGGGAAGCCAGCACGTGCATTGCTGGGTCAGATTTGAGGTTAGGTCGGTGGCCAGGGGAGCTGGGCGGGGCCCTCGGTCTTTTGTGTGAGTGCATGTTGCTAAGGTCGCCTCCCACTTCCAGCACCCGGGTACGGGCACAGCCGTGCTGCAGCAGCTTCTGGGGTGAGCGCTGTCACGGTGCCCTCATGGTCTGCCTCCCCCAGGGCCCTCAGGGACCCAGCAGAGTCCACCATTGCTGGCCAGGCCTCATGACCACTTTGTCCTCCTGTCTCTCATAATCACTGAGCAAAATACAGCGGTTTCAGGATTCCTTAATGTCTCCTGCAACATGGTTTACCAAGCCCTCCCTTATGGCATTAAAAAAAAAAAAAAAGTCAACTATCTTGAATATTATCTTCCGTTACTACCCTTTTATGTCTTCTATTACGGAACCTACCTATTACGCTTGATTTCCTTGGAGTTTCCACGAACGAGATTGTTTTCCAAATTCCCATCAGGGAGGAAAAACGTTTCCTGTACTCTCTCTTAGGTTCCGTATTGGGTGCCTGTAAATTAAACCAACAAAAGGCCCGAGTAAGAGACAAGACAGATTTTTATTCACTAATGGATGTGGCAGTTCACAGAAAAAATGTGATTCACAGTGGCCGTTGGCATATGGGGCTTATATACCATCTTAATAGAGGCTGGAGAAAGACAGAGGGACCCGTCAGGAGGGTCAGGGACCGTCAGAAAAACTAAATGGGCTCTTAGAGCAGGTGGGAGACGTGGTAGGTTGATGGCAATGCCGTCATGTTTAGGTGACTTCTTACGCAGGTACTGCCCGGTGCTGGCCTCTGCAGCACCTAAGTCTCAACTTTCTCCCGCTGGAAAACTCCCAGGAAGAGCCCTTCCGGCAGCTGAATTCTCTAGGAGCCTGTGCTTTGTGGAAGACACAGAGCATTCACAAAAACCCTCTTTCTGCCGCTGTTGATTCTCAGTTGTCCTCTGTGCAGTGTCATCCTCGAGCCACTGGAGCGTGTTCTGGACTCCTTGACCCCGAAACGTCCTCTTTTCTGTTTCCAGCAACCCTTTGTCCCTTCCTTGCTGCCTCCTGTGCTCAGCCTCTCGCAGGCCCAACTCCGCGCCCTTTGCTTGCAGAGCTCCGTTGGCCTCCCTCCTTGCTGGAACGAGCTTGTCTCTGCTTCTCCAATGCTGTTCTCACCCCGGACCTGCACCCACACCAGGAGCTGTGGTCTCGTCTGCCCACATCTTTGCCTGGTCTGTCCCGCCTTCAGGTGCGTCTGCCCTCCAGCCCGTCACGGCCTCGCCTGGGGCCTGCTGCTTTCCTCCAGGTCCTCCCTTCCTGCCCAAGTGGCTCCCTTGCTCTGCAGATTCGGTCCCACCGTCCTGCCCAGAGACATCCTCAACGCTAGGGACCTGCGCAGCGCCCCT